TGTATGTGTACATACACAAACTACACCTAAATATTTGTTAAGGAATTTCAGTGAGTGAGGCTGACATCTGAAGACGGCAGCCCAGATTGAGGCTGTTAAGCATAACTAGTGATTTTGGGTACCCAAGCTACGATACATTACAAGGGACCTGATTTTTCAGAGGGCAGGTGCCCAGCACTTTCAGAAAAATCAGTTATTAATTTGGGTCCCCAGACCACTTTTGAAAACCTTGGCTTTGGTTTGACTAGAAAACAAGTACAATAATGGTAAGCAGCAGCTTAAGCTTCTCCACTCCTGCTAAAGTGAGATTCAGTTCTGACCCACAGAACAACCTCCAGATAAGAAGGGAGTTTAGTCTCCATGTACGTTGTCTCCTTGGAACCTTTGCCAAGACTGCCAACAAGTTGGTGAATTACTATCAATAGCAACAGTGTAGTTTTCTAATAGGGACAACTGACTTCTGGGAACTGGATTGTGACCAAACTCATTTCCCTGTAGCAGACAGGAACATGGATGGTCACAACTGACCCAAATGCTAGAGATCTGGAAATGAAAGACTCCATATCCTGTTACCACTCCAGTCCTCCAACCTTGAGTCTTATCAGATTATGACCACTCTCACCTGGGAAACAGTCCTTATTGGTTTAACCAGCTTTTAAACCAGCCAGAATTTTAAACAAAAACAAATAAAAAAAAAACCACATGCATCTTAGCTTTTCAACTGTCCAGTTTGCTGTGGTGTCCAGTGGAGATGAGCTCTCACTTGTCCTGGGGCACATGAAAATGGTACTTTTCCTGCTTAATTACTAAAATGGTATTTGACTTTTTTTGGTGACTTAATATCAGAAGTGGTGTAATAGTTTAAAAAAAAAAAAAGAAGGTAAGCTCCTAAACTAAAATCCATATTCCCCAAATGAGAAGTGGGTAAATTCAATTTCCCCAAGTTTATCCTTGACTACACTAGTGGCTATCAGGATAACTTAATATTATGCTGCAGGCATGTTTCCTTTAAGAAAGGGTCCAATGCCTGTCACAGCCTTTGCTAAGCAGAGAAACCAAGAAGCCCTCTTTAGTGGGTGTGGTGCTGGCAGCCAGAGATAGGGCAGAATTTGATGGTCTGATATCAGAATGCCAGGGATCTGCCAATCACATGCAGCCTGCTAAAGCAACATGCTACCCCACCTCCTACCAGGCACCAGGGGAATTGTGGATTGTCTGAACATCTGTTCCTGAGGAGCTGGCCTACCTTCATCAGTAAAGCGTAACAATGCCTCATCACATTAGAATAAATTACACAACAGAATTATTAAGGCTTTGGATTTGTTTTAATTCAAGTGAAATATACTTGCTGAGAGACAGTTTTGATTTACTGCTAAAATAGTTTTAACTAGAGAGATCAACAATTTTGGGATGCTCTGTGTACTTTTATAGAGATATTTAGGAGAGGAATGCATGAGGGGAGTGGAGTGTGGTACCTTTGGAACCTTCTAAAAAATCTCCAGGCTCACTGGAACAGAATAAATTTAACGAACAGATAAATGAAATGTTTTTACTGTTAAGGTGATTAGGTAGTGTTCCAGCATTTCAGCTACCTTATGGGTAACTAAGAACAGAGATAGACACTAAGCTGGAGACCTTCAAACCCTTAACACACTATATTCTATACAGGCTCTGTACAAGCACTATTGTTTGGTTAGAGAACTGTTCACTCTTCTCTGTGCAGAGCAGTAAAGAACGGTCGTTGGGGTGCATTTGGACCTTATTTCAGTGATGTGAGGCTTATTACAAACTAATCAATTTCACCCAGCCCATTAGGCTGGACTAATGTTTAGAACGTGATTAATTATCTGAAACAGAGGGGAGGAAAACAATCGAAGTGCTGTAAGATGTAAGTTATCAGTCACTTGGAGGGACTTTTTTTTCCATTCTATCTCCTCCCAGCCCCAAACCAGAAAAATGCAGGAAACTACTGATGTTACCTACCTTAAGAACAGCACGGAATCCTTCTGTAAACCTTACAGATCATAATGCAATTCATAGATTTGCATTTCAAACATTTACTCAAAATTCAGTCAGGGTTTTGCAATTTAGTGGTTCTGTGTTATTCACTGTGCAAGCTCCTGGAGACAAGGGCCATACTGTTTCTATCTTGTACAGCACAAAGCACACTGTCAGCACTTTACATCAGTTTGACTGTTGATATTTAGTGAAGCTAGACTGTGGTTTAACTATGCACAAAACTTAGGATGCCACATTCTGCTCCACTGCTTAGATTTCAGCGTGACATTAGGACAGCTAAACTACTTGGCAAAGGGATATTTTCTCAATTATTTTTCTCAATTTCAGGAGATGTTGCTTTCTTGTAGAGTTAAATCCTTTAACAAGGCACTTGCATGGGGCATGGAGAAGACAATGCGAGAAGCAGCATTTAGGCAAACAAAACCATTGACTTTCCCTCTAGTATTGTGTTCCCTATCCCATTATTGCAGGTAACTGGTTTGAACAGCCCTACTTCTGCAGACCAGCTTGAGCTTGTTATGAAGTAAAGGCCCTATTTTTAGGACAGGGTTTGATTAGAGCCCAGAGAAAACAGCTGCAGTGTCATGCCTTCTTTGTAATATCAGTGTAGGATAAAGAAAGAGGAAGGGATGTTACAGATGCAACCTCTGTTTGAATCCAGATCCAAACTTAGTCCAACTTCGAGGATGTTCAAATGTGAGGGGTTTGGCTCACTACAGAGATGAGGACAAGCTATACAAGAGCTAAGTATTAGTTTCAAGTTGTACATTATTCTCCCCCCTTCCCCCAAGTTATAGTATTCAGAGCAAATATATTTGCTAAATAGGAGGAAAATGGCCATGCTATGAAACATAAATCTTATTTAAGCATACATCTATTTTTTCAAGTAAAAGTTTGGAAAGGAAGATTGTCTGTTATATTTGTTACATCTTAGAGGAATCTAAAAATAAGTTGAGATTTCCGATAAAAGGTACTGTGTGTTCACTAACCTCCTGACACTGGGAGTCAGTGAGTCTTGGCAGATATCCCCTTGCCTGCAAAGGGGTTCCCAGCAGCTGCTAGAAGCAAAAAGTGAACATATGGGTAGGAGCATGGTAAGGTACATTTGGGCACATGGTGAGGAAGAATGATTGAATTGGTTCCATTATAGACAAACTCACAACTGAAACATCTGCTGCAATAAGAAAATATATCAAGGAAATGGAAAGTAGCTGCAGAATCACTTGGAACTAGAGAGATATTTGGAATTAAATTTAAAGCATTTCTGGCCATAGGCTCATTTTAAAGTGCTCTAGATGTTCTATGTTTGTTTTAAACATAAGGAAGTACTTCTTCACACAACTTACAGTCAACCTATGGACTTGCTCCTAGGGGATGTTGTGAAGGCCAAAAGTATAACTGGGTTCAAAAAAGAAAGAAGTTTATAGAGGAAAGGTCCACCATGCTCTCGGATGTGACTAAACCTCCGACTGCCAGAAGCTGAGACTGGATGACCAGGGCGGATCACACAGTAATTGCCCTATTCTGTTAATTCCCTCTGAAGTATCTGGCACTTGACACTGTCGGAGACAGGCTACTGGGCTAGATGGACCATTGGTTTGATTCATTATGGCCATTCTTACTTTCTTATGTAATGTTCACAGGCATAGAAGCTCACACTAAAGCTACAATTTAACAATAATTATAGAACCATCATCTTTTCCACACTTGCAACTTTTGGGGGGGAAAAGCAAGAAACAAAACAAAAAAATCCCAAAACTTATTTTGGGCTGAAACATGTACTGTTTGGTCTCAGCCCAAGCAATGTTTTGGCTGAGTGGGAGCAGATGAAAGATTTGAGGAAAATCCAGTCAGCTGTTTCTGAGTCAGAAAAGAGCAGAAACACCCTTTTTCCATTAAAAGAAATAACTATGACTTACATTTTGTGCACTGATCATTCAAAACCAACTGTTTAAAAAAAAATTTTTTTAAATAAACCCAATATCCATCAGGATACAGATTTTTTTTTTTTTAAACAAATGTGAAGGAAAAAGTTTCCCACAGCTTTGGTAGGTACAAAATATATTTTATATATAGAAATTCAGCCAGGATTTTTTTTATTTTTTCCTGCTGAGCCTTATGTTGATACCTACCTACCCATCTTAATGCCAAATGCAGAAATTCAACTAATAAACAAATCTAGTAGGCCACATCCTCAGCTGGGGTAAGTTCCTAGATCACTCTACTGAAGTTGAGGAAAGGTACACACTAAGCAATTTTTAAAAAATTATTAAATTAAACTCTTGACTGTTTCCAACCTCAGCAGTTGTATATTTAGATAAATGTAGCATCTTCCACACAAGAATACCAAGTGATCCATGTGCCATAGTGACCTTCACTTGGGAATCTGTGCATAGACAGCTCCCAGCATTTTTTGATTAAGCTCTTGACTGGTTCTCACAATCAAATAGATAAATGTCTGTCTTAAATTATTTAACAATGTAGAAAAATATGTCTGCAGCTGCTGAGCTCCAGATACTTACTATGTCCTTAGAAAACCTTATGTTAGCACATATTTCACATTCCACGTGGTGGCTAGACACTAATGGTAACTGTACAAACACTAGTGTTTGTGTTAGCACCCACACGGCACAAAGATTGTGAAACAGTTTAAGTCAGCTCTGCACATTTGTCACTCTACAACACTCAAGAAGAATCCATTGGTGTGTATGCTACTTAATCAGACATGCCATTTCCCCAAGCATCTTGTGTACCAGCTTATACCTGGTTTGCCAATTAGTACTGTGTGCAATAGGGTGGGATAAATCAAACCACTTGAAAATGCTGAACTTAATCCAAAAGATCCATCAGAAGCGGCCAGAGCACAGACTCCAATTTTTCTGATGGGCTTGTTTGAATTCACCACTCGTGATCTGTTAGGTGAAGGAGTTTTGTTCTTTAGGCAAAGCAATAAGCTGGAGAACAAATCAGTCAGACCAAACTCATGTCAAACTGCTTTATTACATCTTAAATAACAGTACATTTTAATATAGTATCTATCTTGCATCCAGCTTTCTTGAAGTACACTGACTTTAAAATTAAATACAAAAAGGTGAAGAAGAGGGATACAGGGTGCGGAGAAAGCTCTACAGAGTAGTTTCATGAAAGAGAGGGAATTCATCTTTTTTATGCCAAATCCAGGCCTAACGCACAATTACAGCACATTTTTGTACAGAATGTTGCAGAAAAAACAGAATGGAGAAAGCCACTACTGCTGCTAAGGAGGCGCATTTCTGGATACAGTGAAGATAGGAGAATTTAAGAGAACAATCTGCTGTCCAAACGCTGCTGCTTTTAACATTTTATTTGAAAAGAAAGCCAGGAAAACCTGTGCATTACAAAAATGATTCTAATCAGATGCAAAGAACTCATTTTACAAGAGGAACTGGCTGTGAAGAATTAATTTATAAGGAAGATGGTCTGGGTTCCCCCACCCCCAAAATCTTTGACAGCGATCGTTTGAACAGGCTGTTTCTTTAAAAAAAAAAAAAGGAAGAAAAAAAAAGAAAAAAAGAAGTGACTTCTCACGCTACTCCAAAACGTGCATAGCTTTGTACTTGAAGTCTTCATAGATTTATGCACAGAGTAGCAACAATAAATGAATACAGCGGCAATGGTTACAGTTTTTAAACAGGTTATTTCTTTAAAGAAAAAAACATCAAAGGACTTAGTCCAATATGCACTTTTTAGCATTTCTACAGCATGCGATTCTAAGAGTAAACCCACCCAATATGGCAAACAATCAAAAAAATTTTTTGTTTAACTTAGAAAGTTTAAGATCATTATTTTCAAAACATTGATTTGTACATCATTTCATACACAAAGAATTGACTTAATACCCAAGCGCAGGACAGGTCTCTTTTGAAAAACAGAGATTCCTGGTTGTTGAGACTATGGGGTAGTGTTAGGGTATATAAACTGCCCTTCCAAGTGGGGACAAAGAAAAAAAAATTTTTTTTTAAATCAGTGGCTTTGGGGGTGGGTGGGTAGGAATTGAGGATTTGCATTTGTTACCCATAAAAGGTGAAAGGTTCTTTAAACAAGCATTCAATACCATGTACAGCATGTGCTTGGTTACCTTACTTCTTAACATTATTCTATAGATGCCATGTTTTGTGCAACAATTATCTGTGATACTAGACAGAAATAAAAAAAAGTAGGGACTAAATTTACAGCATTAACAACCCCAGATGCACTGGGCTAGGACTCCCTTGTTTTACTCAGTTATTGACCGTAAAGAAATGTATTTAAAAAGGAAATGTGAAAAAAAAATTAAATCCTTCTACAAATGTGACCTGAAAATTTGAAACGGTGTGAGATAAAACAAAGTTCTCAACTTTAACTTGAAAACTACAGTGAAGTTAAGTTTATTTCACAATTATGCTCAAGTTTACTTTCTGGTCATGCTTTTATGATAGTGTTTCTTTTTTAAATTCTCAAGACAAAAAATGGTCCCAAAAGGAATGCACAATTTCATTTGCTTACAACTACAGAAATTCTTCTTTGAAAAGTAATTGTGCTCTTCATTTCAGCAATAGGAGACGGTAAAAGATCTTGCCCTTTGAAGTTTTGAGGAGAATGGGGGGGTCCAAGTTAGTATGGTTGGATTGGATATGCTATCATTTTAGTTTTCAACCGTTGGAAATGTCTTCCAGTCACGGTGGAGTCCGTCGCTTGTCTGACATACAAAAAGTTTTGTTAAAACTTACGTTCTGACACTAATATTAAGTTCTAAACTGGTTGAACTAACTTCTGTGTCTGGTATAACTGTTTATTCTTCCACACCCTCTACTATATCTTCCCACACTAACATTTACATCCATTATTTTTATTTCACCATTTTCAAAAGTTTTAATAATATTTATCAGCCCAGATGTGAAAGCCATTCACCCACCCCTTACCATGATAATGAAAAAAGTTAATGATACCTATAAAAAAAAGTTACTTCCCCTAGGCAAGTAGAATTTTACAAGGCTGAATTAAACTGTAAGAAGTTAATCTTATTTCTAGTGTTTTACTTTTCTAAACCAAACTGGAAGCTTGTAGCATAAAAGCAGTTGCAACGTACATTTGAAATTACAAAAAATAATGAAAAGAACAGGAGTACTTGTGGCACCTTAGAGACTAACAAATTTATTTGAGCATAAGCTTTCGTGGGCTACAGCCCACTTCTTTGGAAGTAGCCCACGAAAGCTTATGCTCAAATAAATTTGTTAGTCTCTAAGGTGCCATAAGTACTCCTGTTCTTTTTGTGGATACAGACTAACACGGCTGCTACTCTGAAACCTGGAAAAAATAATGAGATTATAAACAAGGTAATTAAGGATGTTCCCCCCCCGCAAATACCTACAGGCTTCAGTTCCAGATCTTGAGGAAGCTATCCCATGATCCTGTTGCTACTGCCATACCATCGTCAGTCACACCTAAGCAACTGACACGGTTATCGTGGCCAGCAAGGACACCTAGAAATTAAACAAAATATACATGCATATTACAGAGTCTTGATGAATACATACTTCATTACAAGCAATGCAATAAGGGCTCGTGTGTTTGTATTGGATACTCTAGCGATCAGAAGATTGGAACATTAACTTGTGTAAATATTAAACCAAGTCTGATTTTGATAGTTTTCTTTACCCCAAATTTTTGGCACTATTCCCTTGGAAATGATTGAAGTAGTCAGTGAGGGACTCCCAAATGCAGAATATGACAACATGAAGTCTGTTAGTCACAAGATTTCCACTTGATAGGAATAATCTTCAATAATCGTACGTCAATTACAAAGTCATCACCAGCTTATCAAAATTCTTCTGACAGCACACCCCAAGCAGTTTTGAATTCTATATTTATTAGTGAGTTGCTGCTAAATTCAATTACTTCCCCTCCTACAGTATTATAGGCTAATTCATCTTGTAAAAAACCCTAGACTATAAAAAACGCAGAGTTAGGCTGGAGCATCTTAAACACATTTAATCTTGCTTGAGCCCTAGCCCTCCTCTTAGGTTTACAAGCACACATATTACGAAAAGGCAAACAAAGATCTGCCACCTACCTTCATTAGATTTGCCACTATGGAAGATGCTTCCACTCAACCAATATGTCATTTTGAAAAATTAGACTCAGACTTTAAAGGTCAGAAGGGACCATTATGATCATCTAGTCTGACCGCCTGCACAATGCAGGCCACAGAATCTCACCCATCCACTCCTGGAATAAACCTCTAACCTATGTCTGAGCTACTGAAGTCCTCAAATCATGGTTTAAAGACTTCAAGTTGCAGAGAATCCTCCAGCAATGACCCATGCCCCACACTGCAGAAGAAGCCTCTGCCAATCTGCCCTGGAGGAAATTTCCTTCCTGACCCCAAATATGGCGATCAGCTAAACCCTGAGCATGTGGGCAAGACTCACCAGCCAGACACCCAGGAAAGAATTCTCTGTAGTAACTCAGTTCCCACCCCATCTAACATCCCATCACAGGCCATTGGGCATATTTACTGCTAATAGTCAAAGATCAATTAATTGCCAAAACTAGGCTATCCCATCATACCACCCCCTCCATACATTTATCAAGCTTAGTCTTGAAGCCAGGTATGTCTTTTGCCCCCACTGCTCCCCTTGGAAGGCTGTTCCGGAACTTCACTCCAAGAACAAATTGATATAAACCGGCCATCAGGAAGTTTAGACTTGAAATCAAACCAAGGTTTTTAACCATTGTACATAATATGCAAAAATATGTTGGGTAGTACTGCTGATCTCCACATTAAAACTGTAGAAGTACCAGAGTGTCTCCCATTTGAATCAATGAATTCTGCACTTCTGGAGCAGCAGACACATGATCAATGTACAAGCGGTTAATAGCATCTTTAAAAATTCATAGTGCCATATAGGAAGCCTGCTCTCACAGCTGATGAAATGGCTCAGAACTATTCTATTGTAGAAGTAGTGTGGATACCATCATGATTATTAGAGTGTCCAGAAGTAAGATGTCTTGCAACTGGGAAAAGTGAAAGGAAAGAGATCCAGTATTGTGCATAAACTCTGGATATAAGAGGTAACACCAGTACCAGAAGTCAGGGAACTGATAGACTCAAACACTAGAAGTGTGTAAAACTGAGATTACAGTGGTGAGATTTAATGTAGCAGGACCCCAAGCAAAGTACCCGAGGAAGCAGAGTGCTTGAGCAGTTAATTTGTGACCGATGAGTCAATGCATGTTAGGATTCTAAGAACTGATTATTAACACATGTGACTTCACCATCTGCAGACTGTCCTCCTTTCCTCCTTATTAAGTATTGCTGCTCCCTGGGACTCTAACCACACTGGCCATTCCTTTTCCCATTCAACATCACTCTGCGGTGAGGTTTATGCAGGGATCCAATAGGATTTCTGGGAGAGTGGGAGACAGATCAGTTGTGGTGGTGCATCTATTTTCACCCCCTCCTTTCTGCTTTCCCTACAGGAGGGACATGCAAAAGTCACTGCCTCATATCACCCAAAAAACAACCCTAACAAACCAGGAAACTGCAGAATCCAGGACTCCCTAGATCAGGAGTCTCAAACACGCGGCCCGCGGGGTGATTTTCTGCGGCCCGCGAGCCCCGTGCAGCCCCCCCGCCCTCTCCCGGTGTTTACCAGAGCGGCTCCGGCCGGACATGCACTGGGAGCAGGGCATGCTCCCTGCCTGCCTGCCCAGCTCCGGGAAGAGGCTGGAACATGGGGAAGGGCGGGGGCGAAGGGTCTGTGTGTGGCTGTTGCTTCAGGCAGCGCCCCCAGCAACTCCAATTGGCCGGGAACGGGGAACTACTGTAGCCAATGGGAGCTACTGGTGGCGGTGCCTCAAGCAACAGAAACACATAGCCCCTCCGCCCCCCCTTCCCCACGTTCCAGCCTCTTCTGGGGGCAGTGCAGACAGGCAGCCTGCCCTGCCCCTGGTACGCGCCGGGCCAGATCCTGCAGCCGAACCCCCTGCCCTGAGCCCCCGCCGCACCCTGCTCCCCGACCCCCTGACATACCCTGCACCCCGACCCTCTGCCTCACCCCGCACGCCTCTTGCATCCCAACCCACTGCCCTGAGCCCCATGCCGCATCCCTCCTGCACCCCGGCCCCCTGCTGTACCCTGCACCCCGACCTAAGCCCCCTGCCGCACTCCTCTTGCACCCCAACCCACTGCCCTGATCCCCCTGCTGCACCCCGCACTCCTCTTGCACCCTAACCAACTGCCCTGAGCCCCCTGCCGCACCCTGCACCCTGACCCCTTGTTGTACCCCTCACCCCTCCTGCACCCCACACCCCAACTCCCTGCCCTGAGCCCCCACCAAACCCCACACCCCTCCTGCACCCCCTGGGGGCAAGGAGGGGGGCAGAGTTGGGATGGGGATTTCGGGGAAGGAGATAGAATGGGGGCAGGGAAGGGGTGGGAAGAGTCAGGGCAGGGGCGGGGCTGAGGCGGGAGGGGGGAGGGGGGAGTTGTCAGTAATGCGGCCCTTGGGCCAATGTACTAGTCCTCATGTGGCCCTCGTGGTCATTTGAGTTTGAGACCCCTGCCCTAGATAAACACTACCCTAATGAAACAGATTTGTAATGAGGCAAGGTAATTTATCCTATAGGGACTGAAAAGTAGTTTTTCCTACTTAAAAGTCAACCAAAAGTACAACCTAGTGCATTAGTAAACAGGCACTGAAGACAAATCACACTGCATTAGTATAGTATAAAATCAAAGCAGGAAATGGAACTAGTATTAGTCATTTCAACAGGCCAGCAAGCTCATCACTTCCTCCTAATCAGCTTCAAAGTAAAGAATTGTCACCAGGGACCAAATATAGTTTTCCCCAACAGAAAAACTATAAAGTGTAATAATATGTCACTAAGAGTTCCCTAATCTGCTTGGATCACCCACCTAATAGTTTCCCAAAAAGAATTATTGTAGTGTTGGTCCCAACATTACCATGGAGTTACAAAATTTACGAACTGAAATCCTGGAGACAATCCAAAAGCAACAAGCAACACCTTATATTCATCTGCTCAATGGATTCTCTGGTGGAACAGCAAGTTATTTTATTTCTACAGCACTTGATTTAAAGCCAGTAGTAAGGAAGATAACATTTATGAAAGGAAAATTCTCTGGCTATCAATATATGCAATTTCAGACTACCAATTTGTTTTCATTTGCATGTCTATTTCTGGCCTCAAGTATCAAGATTACAGATTTCAACTGTAAATAACCACCGTGGGAAAACCTTGAATAAGGTGCATTTGGATAGCATAACCATATTATACTTATTTTAAAAATATGTTCCTGGTACAATTAAAATCAAACAGCACTGAAAAGTGAAGTAACCTGCTCTACACATCAGATGAACTCTGAGCTACTACTGTGCCAATTTCTGCACTGCACTGACAGAAGGTATCAGATATGTTGGAAAGGGGCAGGGGAAGCAAGCAAGCCATGGGAGCACTGCTTTTAGACTACAATGAAGGGACTAACGTCACATTGAAAGTCTCTGTTGCTGGTGTCTCCTCTATTTTGAGCACAGCCTCCCCCTCAGCAGTGATCAGGTTTGTACCAATTTTTGTTTATTACTTTCCTCCAGACGCTAAACAGAACCTAGTTTTTTAGCCTTGTGCTAGTTCCAAGAATTAGAAATACTTTCTCCATTAATCTATCTAGTTCCTCTTCTTTACATTCTATAATCATAAGCAGAAACTTTGTGGTCATTTATGATAATTTGTACTTTCCCTGTTCTAACATCATTAGTTTATATTTTAGGAACTGATAGTATCTATACTAGATGGGTTGGTAAATTCAATACCCATCTCCTCCCATTAATTATACCCCTAAATAAAGTTACAAAACCTCTTTTCCCTTTTCTCGTTATGAATTTTATAAATACTGCCACAAATGCACATTATCCTGCTATGCCTTAGAGATAACGTATCACATTAGTGAAATAGGTACTGATACCCATACTGAGATAAGGTGACAATAGCATAAGATCCCCCGCCCTTGACAGTTTCTTCTTCCAAAACATGCAAAGTCACATTTCATATTAAATACACAAATAAGGCAACTTTAAGAAGCACTATCCAGAACTGTTTGCTATGTGAAGAATTTTGAGGTAATAAATCAGTGGCTACAAATCTCTGCTTGACAGTTACACTACCTAAAAGTCAGTGCAAATTCTCAAAGGAACAACTTAGAGAATTTTACAGCTTCAAGCACTGCAGTGCAGCATAGCCACCAACTATTAACCTGAATTGTTTCAATGAAATACTAATGACAATTATCTTCATATAAATATTACCATGAAGTGATTAATAGTAAGTGTTTCATAAAGTGTCAAATACTTTTAAACAGTCCAAGTGTAAAATAAGCTCTTTGAAGGTAAAAATATATTTAATTTTCCCAGATGTCATTCTTTTACTGCGTTCTGTTTGGAGAGGGTAGCTTTCTGTTCTCAGAAACCCCATATTCTTCACGAACATTTACCAGCATGTTGACAACACAGGTAAAATACCTTCACCTGGGGTGATCTCACAGTAGACCATATCATTGAGTTAATTACAGTAGGCTAACAGTACTGTGCTAATGTTTAATAAAGGACTGTCAATAGGTCACCCCTTTAGGTGCAGTTGATAGTATTTAAAACCCAATGCACAAACTATTTACCTGCTCTATCAGCTTTCAGCGTGTCCCAGACATTGCAGTTAAAGTCATCATAACCAGCTAAGAGGAGACGTCCGCTTTTGGAGAATGCTACAGAGGTGATGCCGCAGATGATGTTGTCATGTGAATAAACCATAAGCTCCTGGTCAGCACGAAGATCAAAGAGCCTGCATGTGGCATCATCTGAGCCTGTGGCAAATGCATTGCCATTTGGGAAGAACTTTAAAACGAAACAAAGATATTATAGTACAAGATAATTTGTGTTTGGGAACAGGGCTTTTTCCATTTGGACAACTACTATGAAATCTTAGATAGTACAAAACATGCTAGACCATTTTCATTTGGTGCTCTGGAGTACTCATGCAGGCCAGTCGTCTTACGCCCAGAATTGAGAGCTAGGAACTAAAGATCTACTCCTAGCTTGGTTTGACTCCCTTTGTGTTCTTTGCCACATCCCTTTGCCTGTCTGTTTCCCTATCTGTAAAGAGAAGCTAAAAGTACCTTATTATCACCATCACAACGGCACTAACGTTTTTAAAGCCTTCTGAAGATGAAATAATAAATATTACTATCAAAAAAACTTTAGTAACGTACTATTTAAGCACCTAACAAGTTGCCATTTACTGCAATAAACTTTATGCAATACAACAAATTGAATGTAGTTTTGTCAATTGTGGAAAACATTTTGTTTTGGAAAAACTATGCTGTAATACTCTAGGATGCACTATGTGTTAAATTCTAACAGCTGACTACAAAGTATATATCATGAACTTAAATCCCATCCCCCCAATCAGAGTTCATACGCACACAGATGGCATTGATGTCTGACTCGTGGCCAGTGAATGTTTGCCGACACATTCCTTCTCTAACATCCCACAGTTTGGCAGAGGCATCACAGGCACCAGAAACAAAACACCTGGCATCAGGAGCCAGGGACAAACTCATGACATCCCCGGTGTGTCCAGTAAATGTGGTTGTCTGCTGGCCAGTTTCAATATCCCAAAGGGCGCTTGACAGAAGGGGGGAGAGCAGGGGGAGAGATAAAATGACAAAAATTAGAACCATCAAATAAAATTGATTTTTTAAAACAAGTCTCGCAGTACATTACTAGAAGTTCAGACAGGGCTGGTTAGCCCGGACTTGGCTGGTTTGTCACTTGTTTTCTCTGGTTTAATTTTTGTATTTAAAATAAAAAGGGAAAAAATTAATCCCAAAGTATATGGGAAGAAGATGCTCTCCTTTGAGACATTTTGGTATATCATATGCAAGCTCTCAGTCTTTGCCTTAAAAAGGCACCAGTACTTTCAGATGGAGCCACATATTTCTGGTTACAGAGGATCAGCCTCTTGGCTGGGTTACCAGCAATATAAAGCGAGCAAAGTGACTAATGTTCATCATTGTTGATACATGGAGTTCTGTAACATGGCAGTGTTCTAACACTAGTGTAGAGCTGTTTTAGAGTAGCACCCACTATTGCTGCTATAGTTAAGGTTGAGTCAGTGTTTCCATTAATTTTAAAAAGTGGCTTTTTGAGGGTGTATAATTCAGCCAGAATAATTCACTGTTGCCTCATGGCTGTCAGTGCCCACACTTTTCCATTGACAGCAAGATCACCACAGTGACAATCACAGAGTATAAAAAGGGGATGAAATACTGACTGCATCATCCACAAAAGCAGCAGACTTTCCAGAGATGTTTAGAAGAAAGCATTTAGCTTGTCTGGTCTCTTTCCCAGTAGGTGAGCACAATGTAGATTCTGCTTTGGCTTAGAGCCAGTGCAGAAGCCAGTTTTGTGTTTTAGGGTTCCCTGGTTATGTAAACCATATGTTCAGTAATTAATTCTGTATCAGCTTTCACTAGTCAGTTCCAACTATGATATGAAATTTTGCTTAGTGTTCCAGCACAAATCCATTTGCAGCTAGAAAACATCATGCCCTCCATGTCGGTCTCCTCTTTAGTTCCCCATTCTAGGAAAGTGCAGGCTTAGAGGAAGGAGACTACTGGCTTCCTCCTTCCATAAATGAAGGGAACCATCAGCACAAAAGCAGAAGTTTTTTCTTAATAGAACCAGCTTTCATTATGAACCACGTGTGTTCCAGAAATGCATATGTAGAAAGAACAAGACAAAAAGGAATCCCTTGCCAGTGGCTAGGCCATAAGAGAAGGCCAGAATTTGTGTACTCAACACCCTACCTGGACTTTGAAAAATTATTACATGCAACAGTCAAAACCTGCTAAAGCTATATAATCTTGTACAAAGAGCATCACTTTAGCAATTCTTGGTGTATTTAAAAAGGATCATTCATGTACAATCAACATCCATCTTAAGCAGCCACTCAAAAACGCCGTTTAATAGGAGGGTCCTTATGGGACCAAACACAACTGTAGTGAATGTCTTAGGAAGACTTCAAAATAATCACCTTAAGTACTGCTGCCTAATGGATATACTACTATTTTCCCTTCAAGATTTATTTATTCAACATGCCAATTTTTTGGTTTACATTTAATTTTTTGGTAAAATGAATATTTATTGGTTAAGCGGGTATTTAAACAGGCCGTACTACAAGCAGCACAGAAATGCTGTGCAAGTCGAGAAACAGAGCTAACTTTGGGGGAAATCTAACATTACCTTTCCAGTTCTGATGGATTAAAATTAAATCCATCTTAGGTAACAATTCAGTGTAAGAACAGAACACAGACTGAATTTGCTGGATATCTTGAGTCTTGTTAAGCCTTATTCTATAGATCTGTAACCTAAAAGGGCTTTTTCTTTTGTTGGTTACGGCAGAAGAGCTAAAACTACATAAAAAGTATAGCCCACAAAAACGAGATTTCTTTGCTAGTGAGACTAGAGCAGGGGTTCTCAAACTGGGGGTTGGGACCCCTCAGGGCATCACAAGGTTATTACACGGGGGGGTCACGAGCTGTCAACCTCCACCCCAAATCCCGCTTTGCCTCCAGCATTTATAATGTTGTTAAATATATAAAAAAGTGTTTTTAATTTAAATGGGGGGGGGGATTTCGTGCTCAGAGGCTTGCTTTGTGAAAGGGGTCACCAGTAAAAAAGTTTGAGAGCCACTGGACTAGAACATAACCTCTAGAAGCAAATGCACTACAGATGACTCCTATAGGAGAAAGCACCTTAAGTGTTTTAGCTGATCTCTGAAAATGGACTATGGAGTACACAAATTACAACAGAACATTATGTTTCTATTAAGCCAATGGATCACAAAATAAGAATATTTTTCAAAGTGATAAATTTTTAGTTTTGGAACTAATGTTTTGTTAAATGTTCAGCGATACTCCTTTAAAATTCACTTCTGCTAACTTTTTAAGAAGACTTTCTGAAAGCTATTCAGAATCTTACAGATTTAAATACAATTTTTTACCAATGTGATTCAATATTTAATAACTTTTTTCTATAATGGTACTACAGAACTTAACGGAAAAAGGTCATTAATTCATTCAACCTATCCTTCCCCTGACAACCAAATATCTATGGTTCCATATTCCATTTGATCACCAATAAGAATTAATATCATGGACTTCAAAATTTGAAGCAACCTATCAGTAACAGAGTGCAAAAAAGAAGTGCAAAATGTTGGGGGTTTATTAAAAATGGCACTGGCATAAAATTAACTGTAAAACATGCACTAATTGTGACTCTTTACTGCCTGTATACATCAAGTTCACTCCGCAATAATTTGATAATGGATTTTTAAAAAGTATACAAGACAACTAAACAGATATTTCCATTCTGGGGGAACTATTTCCTCTGTTCTGACACTGGTCCATAATTATCCGTTGTTACAGGAGACTTGTTTAAAGCTATAGCTCCAGAATGTGTCAAAATCCATATTTCTGAAACTTTAATTCTTTCCTCAGTGAGCCATAATTGCTCTGGATGAGCTCTTATAGACCATGTGTAAAGAGTTTTAAATTTTAAAAATATTGCATTATTTTTATTAGAGATGTTAATAAAAAACCATCAATGATGGAAATTACTTAGCACATGGGTCTGTCAGTACCTACATGGTAAGAAAAACCCACGGTCTGACAAATGCAAAGGAAAAAATTCGAAGTCTGGCTTTTCACACACCTAATGCATTTTATTTAAAAAGGGCATATTCAAAAGCATAGTTTGTAGAGCTTAACAGCAGTATTTCCATTTGTGTGTTATTTATCCTAAATTGCAAGCCATTAGAGGTTTTTATTTATGTGTCCTATGAGAATTCTATACCAAAGATTGCTTACATAGGATTCATACTGCACTTCAACACTATTGCTATTACTAAGTGTTATGACAAGTTCCCCCATAATATATCTGTATTTTTGAATATGCAGCCATTAGTACAAACGTTACAGTTCGACTGCTTACCAAGTGGTGTCTCCAGAGCTCGTAACAATTTGATTATCATCCAGGAAACGGCAGCATGACAAGTAACCTGCAAAAAGTAACACATGGCTGAACAAAGCTGCAAATTCTTGTCTACTTTTCAGATTGAGTTGGGCATGTAGTGAAGCCTCCTCTTCTGCACATACTGGGCATGTCTACACTGCAGTCAGAGATGTGACTGCAGCACATGTAGACATAACTCAGATAGCTTTGATCTAGCTAGATAAAATAGCACTGAAACTGCAGCAGCCTGGGATAGCTGCCCAAGACCATAACCTGGGCCCCAGGTGGGCTTGTATATAGCCTTTACTACTGTGGCTTCATGGACACCGGTACACAGCTAACTAGATGTTTAACACATGCTGCAGTCATGCCTCTGACTGCAGTGTAGATACACTCAACAAGGAAACCATCAAGAATAGTCAGAAATTCCACAAGTAGTACTGAATCAGAGTAATTGGTTAAGGACCACTTTAATTTACAGACGGAGTCTTACAGCAATCTAATGTTTGCTGAACGGCTTATCCAAGCAAAGAGTAAAACAACACTAGAAAACACAAAAGGTCCATTTGGTTGTTAAAGAAAATAAGAGACCTAAATGAACAGATGATACTCTTTCACATAAGACTAGGGTTGAAAATTCTCATAGCTCTTATTTGGGACAACTTGGGCTGTGAGCATCACAAGGATTCACAGTCCACGCAGAAGAGAGAGTGTGAGAAAAGATCTATCTTGTACTAAGACAACATGAAGAAAGGAAACTGGTGGCCTTATACACAAGGGTAACAAGCCCTCATGACATTACTTGGATCACTTTAACTCTTCTCTTGAGGGAAGCTGCTCTCTTTGGGACCAGCTGTGACTAGAAGAGCCCCAGCAGAAAGAGGGAGAGCACTCCCTGAGGCATGCAGCGGTGGACCCTCCTCCAAAGGCTTTACCCATTCATTAGCCAGCCAAGGAGGAAGGGAGCTGACTCATCCCTTGCTCTCCCTTTTCATTAATTTAAATCCTAGCTCAAACCACGGGGAGCCTCTTTTTGCTTTATTTCAGCAGCTCCCCACTCCTTCCCAGTGACTGTAATTTTAAAAAAATGGCTACTCACCTTCTCGTAACTGTTGTTCTTCGAGAGGTGTTGCTCATGTCCATTCCAATTAGGTGCATATGCGCCGCGTGCACAGTTATCGGAAGGCTTTTCCCCTAGCAGCACCCGTCCAGTCGGCTGTGGAGCCCCCTGGAGCGGTGCCTTCATGGCAGTGAATATAGGTTCCTGCCAACCCGCCACCTCTTCAGTTTCTTCTTGCTGGCTACTCTGACAGAGGGGAAGACAGGCGAATCTTGGAATGGACATGAGCAACACATCTTGAAGAACAGTTACGAGAAGGTGAGTAACCATTTTTTCTTCTTCAAGTGCTTGCTCATATCGATTCCAATTAGATGACTCTCAAACCCTAACTAGGAGGTGGAGTCGGAATTAATGGAATTGATGATTGAAGCACCACTCGGGTGTGCTGGGTAATAGCATAATGAGAGGTGAAAGCATGAACCAAGGACTACGTCGCCAACCTGTAGATCTCCTGGATGGGGACCTGGGCCAGGAATGCTGCTGAGGAGGCCTGCGCTATTGTGGAATATGCCGTTAGTGCTGGGACCAGAACCTTTGCCAGTTCGTAGCATGCTCGGATACAGGACGTGATTCACAATGAAATTCTATATGATGAGACTGGGAGGCCTTCCCTTTTATCCGCAACCGCCATGAACAACTGGATTGACTTACAGAATGGCCTTGTGCGTTCAACGGGAAAGGCCAGCGCTCTAACGTCCAAGGAGGGCAGCCTTTGTTCTCTACTATCTGCGTGAGGCTTAGGGACACAACCTTTGGGAGAAAGCCTGGATGAGGCCTAAGCTGCACCTTGTCCTTATAAAAATAATGGTATAAGGGGGATGGGAAGTCAGGGCTTTAAGCTCTGAGAGTCTCCTTGCTGATATAATGGTGACTAGGAAGGCCACCTTCCATGAAAGGTGGAGCAATGAACAAGTCACCAGGGGTTCAAACGGGGCTCCCATTAGTCTGGAGAGGACTAGGTTGAGATTCCATGCCGGGACTGGTTGCTTAACCTGCAGGTATAACCTGTCCAAACCTTTCAGGTAACGACTGACCATCAGGTTGGTGAAGACTGAATGGCCAGCTGCTCTCAGGTGGATGGCCAAAATGGCTGCCAGGTGGACATTGAGCACTGATACAGAAAGGCCCTGCTGTTTTAAGTGCAGTAGGTAATCTAAGATGAGCAGTATGGGTGCCTGCATCGGGAGAGCGTGACTGAACATCAAATTGCAAACCTTTTCCACTTGGCCAGGTAGGTAGTCCCAGTGGAAGGTTTCCTGCTGCCCAGTAGGACCTCCCTAATGGGCTCAGAACATATCAGCTCCATTGGGTTTAGCCATGAAGCTTTCAAGCGGTGAGGTGAAGAGACTCGAGATTGGGATGATGAAGATGACCATGGTCTTGGGTGATCAGGTCTGGAAGCAGGGGCAACGAGATTGGAACATCCACAGACAGCTCCAGGAGTGTAGTATACCAGTGCTGGAGAGGCCAGGCTGGTGCTACCAGTATGACTGCAGCCTTGTCCCTGCAGATCTTGAGCAGAACGTTGTGGACAAGTAGAAATGGTGGGAACGCATACAACAGCTAGTCCATCCAGAGGAGGAGGAATGCATCTGTGAGGGAGCCTGGACTGTGATACTGGAAGGAACAGAACTGAGGGCATTTTCTGTTGCTCTTCGTGGCAAACAGGTTGATTTGGGGAACTCCCCACCCCTGGAAAATGTTGTGTACTACATCCAGTTGGATAGACCACTCGTGATTGTGGAAGGATCTGCTGAGATAGTCCGCCAACTTGTTCTGGGAACCTGGGAGAAAGGAATGCTTCCAGGTGAATAGAGTGGGCTATGCAGAAGTCCCACAGCTTGAGGGCTTCCCGACATAGGGGAGAGGAACAAACTCCACCCTGCTTGTTTATATAAAACATCACAGTTGGGTTGTCCATCAACACCCCTGGGCACTTCCTTTGCAAGTGGGCTTGGAAGATCTGGCATGCCAGGCGGACTGCTCTCAGCTCCTTGACATTGATGTGGAGTAAGAGCTCGTTTTGCAACCAGAGACCTTGGGCTTGAAGGTCTCCCAGGTGAGCATCCCATCCCAGTGCTGACGCATCTGTCACTAGGGACATGGAGGGCTGGGGCTTGGCGAAGGGGACTCCCTTGCATCCCTCCTGTGGCTTGAGCCACCAGTGGCAAGAGTCAAGAACTGGCACCGGGAGGGTGAACACCTTGTCCAGACTGTTGCGCCCTGGCCAATAGACTGATGCCAGCCAGGCTCGAGCCTCAGCCTTGCATGCTTTACCACATATGTACATGCTGCCATGTGGCCAAGGAGCTTCAAGCAATTCCTTGCTGGGGTGGTGAGGTACCACTTGAAGCTTTGCACAGTTTCTGTCATTGTCCGAAACTGAGCCTTCGGCAGGGATGCCCCGACCTAGCCCGAGTCCAGCATTGCTCCGATAAACTCTATTCTCAGCATCAGGGATAGAGTTGATTTGCGCTTGTTGAGCATGAGACCCAGTCTGTCGAAGGTGGATCTTACGAAGGTGACATGGCGCTCCACTTGGTCCCTGGACCATCTCCTGAGCAGACAATCGGCAAGGTACGGGAATACCTGTACCTGCCTCTGGCATAGGAAGGCAGCAGCTATGACTGACATACATTTGGTAAACACTCATGAGGCTGCTGATAGGCCAAAGGGGAGGACTGTAAATTGGTAATGGTTGCAGTTGACCACGAACCTGAGGAAACCTTCTGACAACTGTGCACATGGCGCGCACACACTTAATTGGAATCAACGTGAGCAAGCACAAAAAACTGTTTTTGCAGATGCTGCAAGTCTTACTGATCACTTGTTTTGGGGTCAGGAAGAAATGTTTTTCTTCCTGTTGTAGCCAAATTAGCATAGGCCTGGTGGATTTTTTCACCTTTCTCTGAGCATACTCCATGCATGGTCAGGTTAAACAGGAAGAGGATTTAGTAATTCATGATAGTACTTGGCAGGGATGTTAGTTTGTTGCAACTTTCAGCCAGTTTCCAGTGCAGTGAGAAGGCTAAAAAGAATGGCTCCCAGAAGTGAAATGCCTGGGATTTTGCTGAGGGGCCTTGTGCTCATGGGATAGGGGGAGAGCTGTGGCCTTTGTGAAATAAGGTCCCCCCTTTTAGTCTGATCTGTACCCTTCACAGGGGGTGGTGGTCAGATTCAGAAGAGCAAGCTGAGTCCTAGGGAAGGCCGAGGAAAGTCTACCCTGAGTTCTGGATTATATGGGAGGAGCCCTGAAACCTCTGCATTGGAACCATTTAAAATACAGGTGACTAGGAAGGTAGTGTCCCTCCCCTCCGTTAAGTATAACAGAGTTGCAGCCTGCTGCTTAAAATCCATCTGTGTCTGTCCTCATTCAACGCCAAGTCCAGTACTAGTTGTCACCCCCAATTACAGTTTTATTGCATCAGCCCTACTTAACCCTGCACTAGAAAAGCAGTTAATTAAAACTGACCCTCTAAGATTTCACACTAACAAATGAAACCAATCACCTCTTTTGATGCACCCTTTCTAGGCCTCTAGAATATAGTACAGTCTTTCACCCTCTGTAGAGACCACATTCACCCTGCCATGAACCCACATACTGCATTTTAGTGATCTTACTAATTTACAGGGCCATCTCTAAAGGAGGTCACTGAACAGCTAAGATATTCTTGGCTTTTTATTGCTCAAATCTTTTTTTAGGATTTTGACATGCACATAGGCTGCATCATGGATACCCAACAAAAATGTATGTGACAGCTCGTTCCATTTTCCCTTTATAACGGATATTAAAGAAAAGTACTTTTTATGGATCATGGCTTGCTTGGTTATCACAACTACTAAGTATCTGTTTTAGTGGTTAGTCAACATCTCTCTATTTCAGACAGAGTACACAACTCCAGTCAACCAGGTAAGTAATCTATGCTTTGAAAGAAACACAAGAGATACAAAGAAGTTAAGTGCCATCTACAATATGGTTTAACGCATTTTAGTTATGCTTTTCATTAAACAGAAGCTTGGGAAGGTTTGCCTGATTATAACGATTCGTGTATGAATAACCTTGGTTTCCTTCAATGAACAGTTTTCAGAGGGTTCCCTTTACACTGTATAGGTAGAGGCTTGATCAGGCAGAAAACCAGCAAGACACATAGCCCGCCTGATGTTTCCTCTTAGAGCTGTTAAAGGTTTTTCCGGAGACATGCTGGCAGCCTCTGGAGTAAGAGGCCTCTGTTTTGCTGCATCTTGGGATTTTGTTCTTTACAGAAACAAAGGGAGCATAAAGAGGACACACAGTTTCAGGGTTGCAATCTTATTGCAAGCTGATTCCCTCCCTCAGGTTGCTGGGTGTATTATTACTGAATCTGCAAGTGAACAAAGGCCTGCTGATGTAGCACTGAGTATGTCACATATTAGGATTATAAGCACATAGCTACTAAAGTGACTGGCACTATATAATATCTAAGATAAACAGAGTCCTGTTACAGGCAGTTGGGCTCTCCAGAATCAGCACAGGCACTCTTTGAACCAATGTTCCAGACCAGACCTCGACAAGGCAGGATATCAAGCCAATTTACATCCTATTTCTGAGTGGCTTTCAGCTTCTTTTCCTTTTTCCTCAACCGCACATTTCTTCAGCAGGTAGAAGTCACTCTAATGAATTACCATTTCAACTTCTGCTGTGATATGGGAGGTTACTGCTACAATGCTCTTGGACTGTAGAGGGGGAAGAGAAAAATCCTGAGCTCATCCCCTCTGCTTTTAGCTGCCTTGGTGGATCTTCTTATTTCAAAGAAAATGGAGCCCTTACATGGGTACCTTTGTTTTCACAATCATAGCTCATTATCCAGTTTAACTTCTCTTTATCTCTAGTTATCAGAGTCATTAGTTACTTTGATGAAAAAGGTTGGGGCAGATTCTGTGTTGCACCTCTGAAGGGAGAGGGGGGTAGGAATAGCTCAGTGGTTTCAGCATTGGCCTGCTAAACCCAGGGTTATGAGTTCAATCCTTGAAGGGGCCACTTAGGGATCTGGGGCAAAATCAGTACTTGGTCCTGCTAGTGAAGGCAGGGGGCTGGACTCTATGACCTTTCAAGGTCCCTTCCAGTTCTAGGAGATAGAATATCTCCATTAATTTAAAGAGAGAGAACCCCAGGAGGGCCGAATGTAGCCCTGTAGTTTCCAGGATTCTGACATGGCCCTGATGTAGGTTAGAGAAGCCCCAGAACAGCTGCAGTGCAGAGTACTCTGACCACTTTCCCTCCCTTCTGTCCCCTTCTACCTCCAGCAGAGGGGAGCAGTGTAGGACAACCTACACCAATGTAACGCTGGGGGCAATTCCCCAGCATCCAGTTAAACTTGCTCTGTGCCCTCCTTCTGGAGGCTGAGCCACTGAAAAGGAGCCCCTGAGGATCCTAGAACACTGGGCACTACAGTCCTAGTTTTTAGTGATGAAAAGGATTTTTAAGGCTTTCAGATATTTCTATGGCCAGCCTAACATCTCTACAGACTTCCAAGAGTAGTAAGATACAAGTCATTCTGGGATTTAAATCTGAAGTTCAGGAAAGAGGTTCTTAGATGTCAGTACCCCGAGCAGCCAAGTAATTAATTCTGGGGACTCTAAAGGAATTATCCAGTATCAGTGACTGAACATGCGGGGACAGCAGGGTGAACGTGGGTAAGTACCTGTAAAAAAAAAAAAAAAGGAAGACCTTGAAAAACAGACCATGGTTTACACCAGGGGTCAGCAACCTTTCAGAAGTGGTGTGCCAAGTCTTCATTTATTCACTCTAATTTAAGGTTTCGCGTGCCAGTAATACATTTTAATGTTTTAGAAGGTCTCTTTCTATAAGTCTATAATATAACACTAAACTATTGTTGTATGTAAAGTAAATAAGGTTTTGAAAATGCTTAAGAAGCTTCATTTCAAATTAAATTAAAATGCAGAGCCCCCGGGACCGGTGGCCAGGACCCGGGCAGTGTGAGTGCCACAGAAAATCATCTCGAGTGCCGCCTTTGGCATGTGTGCCAGAGGTTGCCTATCCCTGGTTTACACTGAAACTCAAAGAACCAGTTCTTCTGCCTTCCAGAATGATTAAAGTAATTTAGAGACCAAGACTGGACACAATGGGCTTGATTTTCAGGAGGTGCTCAGCCCCTACAGCTCCAGGTGAAAGGGCAGCATCTCTGAAAAATCAGAGCTCAGATCTTTGGGACATAATGAAAACCCAGCAAGATGCAATTGTCTAGTTCACAGAAATAAAAATTGGCACCAGCAGCCAGTCTGAGATATCTGATAGCACTCCACAATAAAACAAATGCATGACCAATTAGTTTTTTCTCTCCAATTTGAGTTTGTAAATGTAGTGTCCTTTCAATATCAGGAAAGAGCTTGGATACAAGAGAGAAAAGAAAAATGCCTTTAAGCAGATATGCTATACTGTAACAGTTTTACTTTCCATAAAGAAAAAAAAAGTTGCAAAATGAAATAATTCCCTTTTGTAATCACTAAATCTTCCCCTTCATGACCTCCAAAGACTAAATATTTGGCCAAACTACATTAAGCTTTTTAGGATATGGTTTTATAATAAGAGCCCTCTCAAATAAACCAGCACCAACAAGGAGGTAAATAAAGACTAATTTAAGACTGCGGACAAAGTGTAAGAAGTTGAGACTCATGTATCTAAGGAAAAATTTTGTCCAATTTTCTGCCACAGTGTTTATTACATATAACAAGAGTTTGATTGTTTTAAATTTGTATAATGCTGCACTTGGCAACATGTTTTCTGTAAGGGACCATTGTCTCTATTTGGGGAAGTGAGCAATAAAGATTTATGAAGCTGTTAGAAAGATTGGTAAAGCTGTTATATTAATTATTTAGATGTTTAAAGTGTTACAAAAGTTGTAACAAATATAGTGCTTGTGAGCAACAAAAGAACATTTTTTGAAGAAAGATTAAAAACTAAAGATGTATAAACTGGCAAGGTGATGACTCTGATTTTGGCTTGGGGAATGGGAGGAGGGAAAGTCACCTATTTGAAAAGTGAACACACAAGGGGGAAAAAATGTATTTAACCAGGTGCAAAAAGGTATGCACAAAAGCAACAGGATCACACAACGATACTTAACTTTCAGGTTTAATATTAAAGAAAAATTTCTTGATAGAGACTAGTCTATGGAATAGTCTTTCAAGGGAAGTGATTGAAGCCTCATTGCTTGGGACATTTGAAATAAGACTGGACTGTATGCTATAGGAAACCAGTCCTCTGGCATTGCAGGATTGAGTAGATCACCTAATGGATCTTTTCCATATCTAATGTTCACGATTCATCATGCGTTCAGCTCACAACTCGTTTACCCTTCAGAATTGATGCTCACCTGTGTGACCAGCCAGCTCACGGCTGACACGTACATTTCCTTCACGAGTTTTCAGGTTGTAAATGGAACAGATGTTATCAAGACCACCGCAGGCCACATAGTTTCCAGAGGGGGCATATGCACAGGTCATCACCCAAGATGAACGCAGGGGAATGGCATGGACCTGGAGCACAGACAGAATACATAATTTATCTTTAAGTCAATTGATCATCAAGAGGTTCTTATTTACATCTTCTCTGTAACTACACTACTCTCTTTTTAAAGGTAGCAGGAGGAAGAATAATGAAAAAGATGAAAAGTCCTTGTACTCCAAGGGCCAACCTTATTTCAGGAATAATTTGTGCATTTAACTTGTCAAACCAAATAGTGGCTTAATTAAAACTTCAGAGCTGCACTCTAGCAGAGAATCCAGTTTAATCGGAAGCTCTGCTAAAAGCCACAAGAGTTAGTCAATGATTTTATGATTATAGACCAAGCACTATGTTTTAGCTTGAGAAAACACACTGGTGCTCAATTTATGGTAGGTAAAAAATTGTTAATTCCAGGATTATATACTAGGAAGGAACAATGAACAGCAAAAAGAGGAGACTTACTTTGCCCCTCCTTTAATCCTGCCTTAAAAAACCCACTTCAACACTTACCAAATAAGTTAGCAAACCAAGGCCTTTCACTATTTAAACAAACTCCCTTTTTGCTCCCCCATGCTGTATACTAGCCTTCACTGAGTAACCACACAGTCTTATTAATGCTAACCCTGTCCTTCCTTCTCTAATCCCAACCTACTGTCTTGTTATTCTTCTTGTTACAATGTGTTTGAAGTAAAGTTTGTAAACTCCTTGAGGGATGGATCATGTTGTTATATGTATTGTGGGGCTCTGTGAAATATCCATGATTTCCTCATATTTCTTGACTACGGATTAGAAAGGTGTTTGTCCCTCTATGCATACAATCTCCATCTATAGCCATTACAAATCCTGTGGGTAATGGGTGTGAAATAAAAGTCCAAATAGCAGAGCAATGCTCCGGGCTAAAAATACAGCCAACTAATTGCAAAACATGCATCTTCTACCGTGAAGCTAATAAAATGCCTCAAGATGGTTGTTCAAATCTCATCAGTAGGATAGAACACATTTACGATCGCATTCTTTGTTATTACTAACATCATGCACAGCATAATTGCAATGAGCACTGCTTAGCCACAACGTGGCACTAGAATATTTTTAGACAACCTGTTTTCAGCTGTAGACACACTGTTTTCAGGTGTAATCTACTCAACTATTAATCAAAAACTTTCTAGTAATAAAAAGATGCCCTCAAATCTCCTGGATTGGAAAGTCTCTCTTTCACTGAGTGGATCTTGTTTCAGGGGGAATGATGTACTTGTAACTAGAGCACTTGATAAAGAATTCTATTTCTGACTCTACCAAAGACTTCCTGTGTGACCTTAATCAAGTAGCAACATCTCTATGATTCAGTTTTCCTAATTCTAAAATAGGGATGCAAATCCCTGCTTTCAGGGGACGTTGAGTGTTAATTAAGGTTTTCAAGAGTTTTGAAATCCTAATATGGAAATCACTGTAGAAGTATTTTATTTCCTATTTTGGCATAGTCTTTTTCAATTAAAAAAAGCACTCTGCTAATTTAACTGCCATTTACCTGCTGAAAATTTTTATTTTAAAGTTCTCCACAACCAGTTTTGTAATTATTTACAAGCATTGTTTTTTCACCCTTCATGGAATTTATTATAGCGCTGATAACAGTAGCCCCTGGACACCGACCACAGCCACGGTAACCCTTATTCATGTCATGTTACTACAGTCAGAAAGAGACCGTCTCTTACTTGCATTCTTGTAATTCTCTGCTTTATTACAGAGCCCAAACTAGTATGGCTGTGCTTTGTCTCACATAGCACATTTCTGGGAAACGTTTGCTAATTAACTTCTACTCCCGCAGCAGCAAAGCAAAAATACACTCACTGAACAATGAAATATTTAGTTTTTCGGAGGCTGGGTAAACACATTTTATAAATAATATATTTATAAATATATATTACACACAAACAGTATTTAGGTCTCTAACCACATTGTTTAAAATCATAATTTTAGAGGTCAGCTGTTAGGCCTAAACTAAGTTTTGGCTGTATCCCTTTAAGAGCCAAGGTAGGTAAACAATATTCCTTTCCCTTGTATTTTCAGTCAAATTTTAATTAAGCAGCAGTAGGTCAATTACTCTCACCTTGTTTGTGGTATAGCTATCCCAGATGATAAGTTTGCCATCCTGGGAGGCACTAACTAGAAGCCTGGAGAGAAAATAAGAACAAACAATCAATCATTGCAGGCAAATAAGAAGAAAACAAAGCCAATTAGTTTCAAATGGAATGTTATCAAAACTACTAAGATGTTTACATGAATGCTTTAAAAGCTACTATATAAAGTACAATGCAACATCAATATTCTCTTAAATAATGTGCCTCATAGAAACAAGAGCAGATGTACTTCATGTTAAGTATTAAATATTACAGCAGTTAACAACAAAACAACTCAATAGTTGTTGCAATGTTATGTGGTTAAATCACACGATAGGGAGTCAGGAGATCTGAGTTCCATGCCTGACTACCATTGACTTTGAGGAAAGTCACCTACCGCTCTATGCCTTCCTTTCCTCACATTTGTAAGATAGGCATGGGTTTTTTGTTTTTATTTATTATATAAAATAATTCCCACACACCCCTATCCCAAAGACAGCAAGAAGTTTACTCTTCTCTGATTGTCAAAAGATTCGGAGGGTGGGGGTTGAGAAAACGCACGAACAGTTATTAGTAAACGCGTATTTTAGCTTGCTTCCCAGTTATTCTCAAAAGTTCATTTTGTTTCCACAGACTTTGCATTGTCTTCTGTAGACCTTCCTTATTAAAGGAGTCTGGGAAAAGGACCTGAGAATTCTTCCTCCCACCCTCCCCAACGGTGGATCTACAGATTCACAAATCAGGTGAAGGAAGAGTAGTGAAAATAATCCCTAAACAGCACGGATGTCTCTTGATTCCTTTGAAACCTTGGAAATCACAGTGATAGGCACACTAAAAATAAGCAGACCCAGCTAATTATTTGGACCATTAATAGAAGGCCATCTTCCCAATTTCTATTTATTCTAACACATGGTAAAAAAAGGTTGGTTCAGGATGAAAGCCAATAAATACATAAAAATAAATAAAATCCAGTGTCTGAGTAGAGTTAAAACCCAGGCCAACAGAAAACTTAGTTTACAGAGAAATACTCTTGAGTTGAAGGGTAGAGTGCAGGGAAGGAAGGGGCGGTTTTCTTTTGTTTCCTTTGGGGGGAAAAACAACTCTCTCCCTTCTCAATGGAAACTGACTGAAATACACCATTTTGTCATGGTTGTATTCTTGGTATAGCTTAAAATATGAGCTCTTGTTTCCAGGCTTCTTTTATTTTTTAAAAGAATAGGTTTTCTGACTCCAAGAACAAAAAAAATTCAGATTACAGGAACAATCAGACAAAAACAGCTGAGTGTGCCTTTTTCTGTATTAGGGAAGCATATGTAAAATGGAGTTCAGATTTGTAATACTTCATGCTCTGAGTCCTGACCCTACACATTTTCTTTCCGACTTATTACTCGGGCTAAGAGTTTGGCTATTCATCTTAGAAAGTTCAAAGTATTGTGCCAAAGCACCACATCATTTCAATTTCCATCTTAGTATCCGTATGTGCAAACCTAATTCAAGTGAAAAGTCCAACTCTCAACACACAAGTACTGTGTGATAATACCTATCACTAATGTAACAGAACACTGGTCGTTTTCTAACTTTCAAAGCTGCTACGTCACAAAGGCTTCTTAGGATAAAGTGTCATATTATTTATTTTAAACACACACAGTCGTGAGAAGGGTCCACATCTCAAGCCAAGTCTCTCATTTAAAATCCAGTATCTTTAAAAGGAATGTGCCTGGCTATGACAAATCACCTGGCCAAACACACTGCTCTTAGCTTGATATTATATCTTCTATTCACAAATCTGACTACTCTATTTTTCAGATTATGGTGTCAATACAAGAGCTACTTTAACAGTACAATTACAAACTTTGGGTTAGGGACTTCTTTCATACTGTGTGTACACAATGTCTTACCCTTAATTGGGGCTTCTAAGTGTTTCTACAATACATGCTCAGGGTCTAACTGATTGCCATATTTCGCGTCAGGATGGAATTTTTCCTGAGGTCAGATTGGCACAGACCCTGGGAGTTTTTCACCTTACTCTGCAGCATAAGGCAGGGTCACTTGCAGGTTTAAACTAAACTAGTGTAAATGGCAGATTCTCTGTAACTTGAAATCTTTAAATCATGATTTGAGGACTTCAGTAATTTGGCTATTGGTTATAGGTCTATTACAGGAGTGGGTGGGCAAAATTCTGTGGCCTGCAATGTGCAGGAGATCAGACTAGATGATCATGACACTCCTGTCTGATCTTAAAGTCTATGAGAAGGAGCCGTGGCTGCCTTAGGTTACTATACTGTGTACGGGTAAAACATTGTTGCATCACTTGAGTCTGAGTTTTGAACCTTTAATCCAATTTAATGAAAACAACCCCCTGGTTGGCTCCCCAAGATTGAGTTTGCTGATAAATACTACACTTACCTTCAGCAGATAAAAGTATTACCTGATTTATCTACATATTAAAATGCCATGTCATACACTTTTGAGCCTTCTACTTCCTCAGTGCAGGAACCGTGTATTTGTACAGTACTGAACACTTCTAGCACTTAATTAAAATTTAATTTAAATGACACTAACTAATTTCAAAAGCTTTGTTTCCAATAGATTCCATTTCAAGTAGCATGCCCTGAAATTTGTTACAAATTTCTTCAAACTAAAACTAACAGGAAAAGGAGATGGAAAGGTCAGGGAAAATTATTTTAGTAATCTCAGGTGTTACTTACATCTATTTATGATAATACAAACAACAATTTTCAGACAAAAATATGATTTTCAACTTAATTATGTCCCTTCAAATGATAGCATAATCAGTAAAATATTCCTATTGCATAGTAATCTTTTGAATCTCTCCTTTATTGTTAGGGATATTGGTGCCTCCCGAGAAAAGGATAAAGCTGTTTCAGAACTTGGGGGGAGGGATGCATCATGTGTCAACTGTCTCTAGTAAAAACAGCTTCGCCTGGAACTTAAAATGTAAGTATCATGAGTAGTGGTGGCTGTTTCCTACATGACTTTATAAATATGCTAACAGTCAGAGTTATTTCCTGAAAACTGTATAAACAGACTGATTGGAAAGGGAGAAAATGCAGTGGGATGGAGATTGTTTGAAGTCAACTACTCTTTTTAGAAATCTGAATTAATTTAGTGTTCATAAAATGTGGAACTAAAACGCACTGGGTTTAAACTGACAGTGATGTAAGTGCTAAACTGCCTTCAACAATATAGCTCTGCAAAACCACCATCATGGATGTACACTACAAAGATGAGACTACTGTAGATAGGTAGCTTTAAGGCTATATACCTCTTAAGGAGTGCTGATATTATGTTGGTGTGAGATCGCTTCAGCCAGAAGACGTATGTAAAGTCTTGTTCACAAATCTCTTAGGTTGTTGTATAATATATTTGAAAGGAAAATTAAAAAAACAAAAAAAAACACAATTGTGTTTTTATAAAAGTTACAAAAATATCCACCGGACCACCTTCACTTTTTGAAAGAATGTTAGATAAAAATAGGACAAAACATATAGGTCTATGATCTTGATTGTGACATCAGAACTAATTTGGTGTTTCCTCTGGCTGGATAACACAATCCTATTGCTAAAAATGCTTAAGTTACTGCAGGTGGGGGAATGCGCCGGGTCATCACCCACACTAGCCCCATCTCAGCTGGGGCTGCCTCCTACCTGTGTCAGGTGGCTGTAGCTCCCAGCCCTGGCTCCACAGGTGAGTCCCTCCTGACCCAAGTCAGGGAGGTTCCAGCACTCCAGCTGGAGTCTCCGGTTTTTAAATTTTATGAAGTTGGCAACCCTAATTTGCCATATAAAGTGCAATTTGCAACATTGGAAATAAAATGACCAACTAATACAGTACTCCTATGAAATAAAATGAGATTATACAAAACATGAAACTTCAAATGAAACTGTTACACTGTGTTTATTTGTTGCTCTGCCAACCTTGAGCAATTCAGAAACTGAAAATAAAAACAAGTACCACTCCTTTAAAAATATTTTCCTCTACACCACCCCTCCCCCCAATGTTACTACACTAAGAACTTTGCTACTCTTGCACTAGGTATACAATAGAACTTCAGAGTTATGACCACCAGAGTTAGGAACTGACCAGTCAACCACACACCTCATTTGCAACTACGCAGTCAGGCAGCAGCAGACACAAAATAAGCAAATACAGTATAGAACAGTATTAAACAAACTACTAAAATAAATAAAGGGAACATTTAAAAAATATTTTGACAAGATAAGGAAACTGTTTTTGTTACTGCTTCATTTAAATTAAGATGGTTAAAAGCAACATTTTTCTTCTGCATAGTAAAGTTTCAAAGCTATATCAAGTCAATGTTCAGTTGTAAACTTTTGAAAGAACAACCATAACGTTTTGTTGAGAATTATGAACAACCTCCATTCCCAAAGTGTTTGTAACTCTGAGATTCTACTGTATAAACCGACCTAGGATTTTAAGTTACTTAAGAATAGTACTACTTATCAATCTTGTGTAAACAAGCTCTGTACTTAAGACTGAATTAACAAGATCACCTTCATTAGATTAGGCTCCCTTCAGTAATTTCTGTTGATTAGAAATGTACTTGCTATGACCAGATTAATTCACATATTTACAAGATTAAAAAGAAGCTAATTCACCTATTCCTATGATGAGGGAATACCATATCTACTCATTTTCAGATGGACAATTCACTGGGGTGCGTGCTTTAAGATTCTTATAAAAATACACATTATAGTTGTCATTTGTCATCAACAGGGATACTGTTAGCATCCATTTTTTAACTGTCTGGAAATCACAGAAGGACTAATATCCTCGAAAAAAATAAGTACCTATTTTAAAATGCTTCCTCTAAATCACTGACAAAAGTATTTTCAGGCAAGAAGGGGTTGATATTTTGTAACCGAATTTAGATTACGATGCTAAAAATATGGAGATGAAAAAGTGACATTTAGTGTTGCTAAATTCTCTTAGTACCAGAATAGAAGCAAAGGTTATGAAACTTCAAATGAAGTAACCACCCCCACCTGCACCCAAGATCCCTAGCTCTTCAAAAAAAGCTCTGGTATTTTAAAATTCCATTTCTAGCAGAAAGGACTTCAGCTGGATTATAGGCACGACCTGAAATGATGGGACTGAATTTCTAATCATCCTATATGAAAAACCAAATTGAACTTTTCCACAAGAGCTTAATGAAACCCAAAAGATCATCCTTCTGTGCCAGTGACACTCACCTGGAATCAGTCCCCCAGTGCATTGCATAAATTTTAGCCAAGTGCCCCCTCAATGTTCTTCTAGTACGCATCTGAATTCGACCCACTGGATCAATGTTGGCTGTGATCTAAATAGACAAGTTATTATAGACCTTAGATTCTGCATTTATCTTACTCACAGAATATTCAGATACTTCATTAATGCAGAAACACTTAGAGTAGTCTATTGCAGAAAACCAAAAGGATGCAATGCACATATTTTGAACATGTTCATTGATTTAGACAAACAAACTGATTAAGAAATGTGTTAGTTCTACGCAGTATTTGCTTGGTTATTCTCTTATTTACTATTCTTCCCCAGGCCCAGCTCTTTATCTGAGCATTGAAGGCAAAGCACTAGCTAAATATAATTACACAATATTCCTCTGGAAGAACATGCATGTTATCCAGGCCCAGTGGGAAACTGCATGCATTAGAAACTCTCAGAACCCTGGGCAGGATTATATTCAGGTTCTATCTTCTGAAGCCTCTAGCTTTAAGATTACTACAATCTTGTGGCAGAAGGTTCCCCCTGCTCCCCACAATAGAGATGCATTCTACAGAATAACACAGCTTTCTGTTTTTAAAGAGAAGGTGGCGTGTTTGTATTTGAGGCTTTAACTGCACCTAACATTTTGAAGATAAACTCCCAATTTAGATCTAGCATAAACTGCCTTTTGAACAGAAGATTTTCAAATTATAATATTAATATTTTATCTAACTTTTAAAGGATAAGAGTGTATTCTGGAATGAGTAAGTGAATAGCAAATTGAGGAAGAAATCAATACGCTGTCATTATACTATTACATTTAATATAAATAGTTTCTTTGGCCTGGAGCAAAGCACTGGCTAAAAATGTAGCATATAGCGCATTTCCAGTAATATACTGAATAAACGAACACACATTACAGTGAATCCAAAACAGTTTACAACTCCATTTTACAGTTAATGTCTGCATACTTGTCCTGTCTCCACTTAAAAATTATTTAGCAAAAGCATTTGAGTAAAGAACTCTGCTTCATTTTGAAAACTGCTAGAACAGATTAATGTTCAAACTAACAGATTGGGACAGATTTAAAATTCCTACACAATGCCCTTCTCTAGTATAAATACAGTAGCTTTTTACAGGCTTTTGCACATGGGAAATATTTTAGATATTAAACTTAGCCCATTTATTTTACATTTATGGGCAATTCTCTTTGCCACATATAAAAATTTCTTAAGTAATTTAAATGCTCAAAGAAGGCCTCTTGCTCACTGCCTCTCACTTGCTTGATGCTACAGTGCTGAAGTTGTAGTACTGCATTTGTAGTATTACTCACTTCCATGGCAACAAACTGACATCAGACACAGGATTTACTCTCAGTTCAAGCAAAAAGGATTAAACTGGGCGGTGAAAGGTAAAATCTGATTCAAAACACATTTGGAACAATAGCTCCTGGCAAAGGCTTCTGTATAAATGGCCTTCCAGGTTGCTCCAATGTGAGGGTCCTCCAAATTATAGATCCATCTGTATAATACTTGTATAAAAAAATCAGGGAAAGGAACTCAGTGACCTACCCAGGAAAGTACTACTTGATCCTATTACAGGCAGTAGTTGGCCATGCATAAGCAGTAGGATCTGTGCGTAATCAAAAAAAAAAAAAAAAAAAAAAAAAAAAAAAAAAAAAAACA